CCCTTGTCCTGAGCTTGCCAGGTGCCTGTCTGTGTCACCAAGTCCATCCACACAAGGCAGTTGATCACAACCGGCCATGTGCCCTTTTTACTGCCACAAGTGTTCAAAACTGGACAAGGCTTTCTCTGGAAGCACCCCCAGGTGCAGCAGCATTGTCAGGAGGGGTGGCCAGGGCAGGGCAGGTGTCTTGCACCCTTCTTGAGCTCTGACCTGCTGCAGCTCCTCACGTCATGTACTCCTTGTACAGAGAAACTCTGCAGCAGGCTATTTATTGCTCATTTTGCAGCCCCACGAATACATCTGTAAACTGAGAAGGGGCTGTGGTTGCTGAGGATATGATCTATCACAGGAATGGGCCAAGAAGAGCCCAGGAAATTAACTGGCTTTGAGAGTATTATTTATTTATTATTGTATTTTTTTTTAAACACCCTTTTAGGAGGTAGGAGATTCTCAGTACAGGGAGCACTGGTATATTAACCTCACATTTTTGCTACTGAAAGGACTCTCTAGTCTGACTTCTATGTTTTGACAACAAAACAGTGCAGCTATGATTAGCCTGATAAAAGGGAGCCAGAGTTGCAGTATTGATGGTATGTGCATCTAGGATCTAGTTACAAAATGGGCTTTTAACCACATTCTCTCTCGTGAATTCGTGTTATCAGAGGCCATCTTAAAAACAACAAAAAAAGACAGACAATCTTTCTTTTTCATTTCTGTGGGTATGTTTCTTGTATCTCTTTATGCTTATGAAAAATGAGACATTAATAACCTTGACCAGAACCACACACTGAGCAGACGGGCGCTGTGTGAACTTCCTTACTTAGTCCATGCCAGTGCAGGGATCAGCAGCAGCAGTGAACCTCTAACCAGAGGTAAGTATCGGATCCAGCTGTGGTTCTGTGAGGTAGCCCAAAGGACTGTATCAAGACCAACAGGCTCTAAAAGCTTCTTTTTTATGATCTAATTTATTTTGAGAATACATTTTGAGAGCTGATTAACCAGCGTACTAAATCATTGCACTGCCTAACCCCAAAAAGCAACCTTGACAAACAATTAACAATAGAAACACCATTGTAGCAACAAGTGATGGATGGCTCCAGGGTGTAGCTTGAGCCTAGTCTTTGTTCAGAAGAAAGTGGCTGCTGCTAAATAAAGAACTGGGTAGTAAAAGGTGAGAGCAAAGAGATCATATCTGCAATAAGACTATTTGCTCTGCTTGAGCATATGTTTCTCAGGGCAGTGAGCATCTCAGGAGGCAGGAGAGCCCCTGCCTGATGACTGCACACCCTGTGTGCTCCCTGGGAGCAGAGAGGCTCTCACACTGCCTTGGACTCTCTCTTGAAGAGTCAGAGCCATGTGCTGGGACGGGCCTTCAGACAACAGCGCTTCATGGAGCAGCAAAAGCTGCCTCAGCCATTCCTGTAGAGACACCACAGAGTTCTTTCAAGGGAGGAATCCAGAACTGGATTTTATCTGCATACATCTTACCATAGAATCACAGAACCCCAGACTAGTTTGGGCTGGAAGGGATCTTAAAGCTCATCCAGTTCCAACCCCTGCCATGCACAGGGACACCTTCCACTAGAACAGGTTACTAAAGGCCAAGATCTGGGATTTCTTTTAACCTTTGTAAGAACAGTTTCAAGTTTGTTTCTACTGCCTCCTGATTCCTACTTTTCTGTCATTAATTTCTAATCGTTGTTCCAAGTTTTGTGCTAATTTACCAATTTGCCTATAACTTCCTGCTGTACTCTGTTAAGAGAAATTGGGTAATTTATCATAATGCCTCATATTGATTTTACTATGCAGAGATAAGCAAGTAATAAATTTAAGAAAATAATGTAAAAAAGGAAGCTGGATATATACGCACTGTAAAACAGATGGTAGGTAAAGATTAGTTACTATAGACCCCTGGAAAGACAGATGGTTGAAAGGACCATTTAAGGTCTACAGAACTTTAAATGGTGATTAACATGCTTGAGACACTTTGCCAAACAAGACAAACTACCCTCCATAATCTGCACAGGAATGCTATTTTATGTATGCTTCACATGAGCGCGCACCCATGCACACATATATATTTAGGTCACTTTTTTTAAGGAACAGAGTAAGAGAAAGTCATTGATTAGCCCAGTAAATTATTTATCTTCATTTTCTGAGGAGGCTTTGCCATTTTCTGTTCTTACTGAGCCCTTAGACAACAGTTTGCTCAGCCTTGACCTATCCCATACCCCTGTGCTGTGTTAAACAGCCAGCTTGCTGAGGTTGGGTTAGACAAAGGATCTCTAGCTTCAGCATCAGGAATACAAAAAAAAAAAAACAACAAACAAACCAAAACGAAGCCTAAAGAGCTCCTGGACCATGTCTTATGTTCCAGGTCACCACAGCAGAGAATATGGACTGAAACTGTGAAGCAGATTTAAAATGACCTCCTAGTTGTTTTAATGTTCAGAGATCCACTTTGGAAAGCAGGTTTAGTTTCAGGATGAGAATTCTGAGACCTTTTGTGCCCATTTGTGCTCAAGAGCTATTGAACCAATGTGACCAATTGTACTAAAAGCAACAAAAGAAGCTACAACCCCCACCTCCACCATGCATCCCTAGTTCCTCAGCAGCAGCACTGTTTGGGTGGCTGGTTTGGGTTTTGCCAGCCCTCAGGAGCCCAAGTCTGGATCAGGACATCATTGTACCAAGTTATACATAGAATTATAGAATCACAGAGTGTTTGGGTTGGAAGGGATGTTAAAGTTCATCCAGTTCCAAACCCCTACCACATGCAGGGACACCTTCCACTAGAGCAGGTTGCCCCAAGCCCCATCCAACCTGGCCTTGAACACTGCTAGGGATGGGGCAGCCACAGCTTCTCTGGGCACCCTGTGCCAGTGCTCAGCACCCTCACAGGGAAGAGCTTCTTCCTTATATCTAACCTGAACTTCCTCTGTTTAAACCCATCATCCCTTGTCCTACAGTCATTACTACAGTTCCTAATGAAGAGTCCCTCTCCAGCATCCTTGTAGCCCCCTTCAGACCCTGGAAGCTGCTCTGAGGTCTTCACACAGCTTCTCTTCTACACACTGAACAGCCCCAACTTTCTCAGCCTGTCTTCATATGGGAGGTGCTCCAGTCATCCTCGTGGCCTCCTCTGGACTTGCTCTGGAGCAAAAAATAAAACCCTTCATTCACAAATCCACACAGGCAAAACATGCTTTGGTGACTGAAATGGCATGGCATGTTCTGACACTCAGAAAACTGCTTGACATGCAGAGAGGACAGCGCACTGAGCACAGCCACTTACAGAACTGATAAAGCTTGTGTAATCCTACTTCCTCATGCAGGTCCATCACACATTGCTTAAGCTGTTGGCCTGTGTACCCTCACGCGAACTGAGTGAGCATCTCTGTGTGAGCTGTGCACAGGGTTCTCCTGATCCCTTGCTTGTCACACACCTGTTCCCAGGGCTTCCCCGCTCGGGCAGCCGGCGGCGCACGGCCACGGCGCGGGGTGCCTGTCTCAGCACGCTGCTGGGGCTGGGCTCGCTCCTAGCAGCAACACAGCGTGTTCCCTGCTCATCTCAGGAGATGAGAGACAAATGCAAATTGGAATCGTGCCCTTCTGCCTGTCTCTGAACGGCACTTGCCTTTTCTGGGGGGTTTCCCCCGCCCGAAGAGGACATGCCCTAAGCCATACATAGGCATATCCTCTCTTGCATAGGCATTCACTTCTCACGATGTGCTGCCTTACACACGCATACACGATGCCCTCCAGGCAACCTCGTATCTGCTGCTGGGACACTCAGTGCCTGCTTTATTTCACTTGAGGCTGCTAAAGCCGTGGGGCAGCTGCTCCCTCTGCCCCAAAAAGTCTTGGAGGTTCTGGGCGCTGCCCGCACATCCCGCCCTGCCCGCAAATCCCGCTCTGACCACTCTGCCCGAGGAGCCCGCACTGCCCGCCAGGTGGCGCTCTGACCAAGAGTTTGTTGCGGCGGCTCGGGGCTGCGGTGGTGTGAGGGGTGTTTGCGGGTTCCGGAGCTGCTCCCACCACCGACACCCCAAATTCCGTTTCATTCCTCGCACAGGGCCTGGAGCCGCTCACCCTTGGCGGGACGGCCCGGCCCGGTTCGGCCTGCGGGGGGAGCTGCCGGGCGCCAGGGTGATGTGAGAGCACCCGCAGCAGCGGGACACACAGGGCGCTGGAGGCGGGAGGGAGCCGCATCCCTGCCCAGGCACCCCGCAGGGCCAGCGCTGGCCGGACTGCTGTCCCAGCCCATTCATAGCCCCGCCGGTGCTGTTCGGGGAGGGGCGTCCACGCGGGTCACCGGCGCGGTTATGCCGCTGCTCCGCTCACTGGCCCGGGAGAGGGGTTTGGTCCCGTGTTCTCGGAGGGATCCCGAGCGCCTTTCACTGTTGGTTTATTTTTTGTTTTCAGAAAACCCCTATCAGCAGAACAATTCCCACACCACACCCCTGTTATCGCGTAGGTAACCTCCCTGCTTGAAATATTTTAAATGGATAATAAAATAGTCACCATATCCGTGTAAATTCCTGCAAGGAAGAGCCAGGAGGCTCCCCCCTTCCCATGCCCCCCGCGGCAGGACGGTGGCTCCCGGAGCGCCCCGGCTGCGGGGTCCGACCCTGCGCGGCCCCGTCCCACGAACACCTTGTGCGAGCCCACGGCCGCGCAGGGCCCGGCGGGACAAGGCGTCCCCGCCTCTGTCATCGCAAACTAAGCGGAGAGGGCACCGCAGGTACGCACGGGCGGGGCTTGCCCCGGCCCCGGCGCGCTGTGGTACCGGCGGCGCTGCGGGGGAACGCTGCAGGGGGCTCGCCCCGCCGCGCCGGTTGGCCTCGGAAACCGGGAGGGAAAGCAGCAGCACGTTACACAGTAGCGGGGAGGCAGAGCGAGGGGAGGAGCGTCCGCGGAGGGCAAACGCATAAAACCAGCCCCAGGTGCTCGGTAGCCCCGGCGAGCGGCAGCTACCGCGGAGTAAAAACTTACCCCCCCCCCGGTGCCGGCCGGCGCGGAGCAGCGCTGGGAGCGGCCCCATGCCGTCCGGCGGGCCGGGGCCAGCCCCGGGGGCACCCCCCGGTGACACCCCCCGCAACTCCCGCCGCTTTCCCCCGGGCCGTGCCCGCAGGAGGAGTCGCGCTCTGCGCCCCGGGAGGATCGCTGTGAGCCTGCGGGCAGGCAGGTGATCTGCCTGCCAGTCCTGGTTACCCTTCTTCCCACCTCCCGCCTTTCTTCCCCCCCGGCTGGACAACTCCCTCCCTGGAGAACACGCCCAAGTAGCTGAAAAAGGGGGAAAGCGAGGAGAAAAGAAAAAAGGGGGGGTGGGGGGAGCAGGGAGACAGTTACCGCTGGACCGGGGGGAGCCGCCGGCGCTCGGGAGGATCCCGCAGCCCGTGCGCTGCCGGCAATAAAGCGCGACGTGTGACAGGCATACAAATCCGGGAGCGCGGGAGCGGCGGGGCCCGGCGGGCCATGCGAAGAGCCTGCGGGGGCTCGCCGGGGCGCAGCGGCGGGGCGCTGCGGCGCGGGGGGCCCCGCTCGGCCGGGCGGCCCTGACCCACCGCACCGCCGGGACCGGGACCGGCCCCGGGCCGGCTGCGCGGCACGCACCGTTTCGCACGTTGGGCTGAGGCACAGCAAGCAAGGAATATGAACAGGAAAACAAGGCGCTGGATCTTCCACATCTTCCTGAGCCTGGGGATTGTGTATATCAAGATCGGGTAAGTAACTTTTTTTTTTCCTCCCCTCTTTCTTTTATAACAATCGCGTTCTCGCGCTCCCAGCCGAACCTGCCCAGACCTGTTACTATTTAACTCGGGAAGTCTCAGAAAGAAAAAGATGATGGTAGTGATCACGGTTATTTCGTAAAGGACAGGTAAAGCACCCCCCCCCCTCCCCCCCCCCGGCTCTTAGCGACCCCCGGGGAGCGGAGCCTCTGGGACCGGGAGGTCCCTGCCGATGCGGGAACCGGGGAACCCCACGGAGCAGCCGGGACCTTCTCCGCCCCAGCCTGGGGCCCCTGCCGCGGGGTGCCCCCGCCCGCCCCCCGCAGCCACCTGCCGCCGGCCGCGGGTTTGCTGCTGCGCACTGAACACCCGCACCCAGCGGGGAACGGGCCGGTGGCAGCTTCCCCGACCCGTCCCGCAGCAGCATCCCCGGCCCGGGTCGCGCGGAGCTGCCGGCCCTGATGCGCCCGGCTGCGGGGGGATGCAGCGGCGGGCGCGGGTCACCCTCTGCCCTCCCTTTGCCCTCCCGCTATCCCACAGGAGAGGGAAATCCCTCCCTGCCCGTTGCCTGTGAGGGGCCCGGGCACGCAACGCCGCTGCACGCGTTTTAATTTCACGAATGAGGAAGTTGGGTCCCGTTTTGGCAGGAGCCCGCGTGCGCCTTATCTCCGCTCCGGCTGTGGAGAGAGGGAGAGGGAAGCTCAGCGGGAAGAGGCGGCAGTTTTCCGGCGGCACCTGCCAAAGCTGGACTCGGCGGGTGCTGCGGGTGCCTCGGGCACCAGCCGCCCCTCAGTCCCTGGTATGTTGTCGTTGCAGGGGTTTTTCCTCTGTGGTGGCCCTGGGAGCCAGCATCATCTGTAACAAGATCCCGGGTCTGGCCCCCCGGCAGCGGGCGATCTGCCAGAGCAGGCCCGACGCTATTATCGTCATCGGGGAAGGGTCCCAGATGGGCATCAACGAGTGCCAGTTCCAGTTCCGCAACGGGCGCTGGAACTGCTCTGCCCTGGGAGAGAGGACCGTCTTCGGGAAGGAGCTCAAAGTGGGTATGTTGCCTCTCTGATCGCTGCTGGCTGGCTCCCACCTGCATGACACTCAAAGGGGGGCACACGGGGAGCATTGCAGGCACATCTATGGCATTAGGAAGGACCAGCTGGCTCGTCCAGCTTGCACCAGCCAGGGCAGGACTGTCACCTGGGCATCTTCACTTGGATGCTATGGCTGTTGCTACCAGTGTGACTGACATCTGTGCTTCCTTCTGGCAGGGCACCTGCTGTGGTTAAGGAAAGCCCTTCCACATGCGTTAGCTTCCACCACAGCATTGCACTCTCCTGGTCTTGCAAATCCTTTACGAAAGCTTCCCCATCTGTGCGCAGGACAGGACAGCAGCCGTGCTCGTGTACTTAGGGATGTGAAGAAGGTGTTTGGTTCTGGTTAAAGGTAGTGGTCAGAGACCGAATGCTGAGTGGGGAGCAGCTCAGCAGCGACACTGTTTGTACCTGTTGAGACTAAGTCCAGCACTTAGTCTTCTTCTAAGAGACTTCCACTGGACACGGTAGTTATTCTATAGCAACTATATGTAGTGTCCCCCCTCCCACCACAAAGAAGGGGTAGGTTCTGCTTGGAGATGTCAGGACATTTATAAAAACTGTTCCAAGCAACAGGCTGAAGATCCCAATTTCCTTCCTTCCCCCCCCCCCCCCCCCCCCCCCCCCCCAGCACCCAGTTATTGCAACAATACAAAATACATCTAAATTCTTAACTGAACCAGCATTAATAGTGACAAACACAAATGCCTGAAGAAACAGAGCTCTCATAACCCTGTACTGAAATCATGTAGTAGTTAGTGGAGTTTACTCAGTAATTATTGATTCCACAGCACTTAAGATGCAAAGACTCAGGAAAGGTGTTTTCCAAATATAGGTATAGCCCTTTTTAAAGCCATCATTGAAAGCTAATCACTTCCAGGACAGCATTCCTCATCCAGAAGTTGAAATTGGGATTTGTGGTTTTCAGCCTTAAGGTCTTTCTGCCTCCTCCCCATGTAACATGTAGATGCCAAATGCAGAAACCCCATCAAACAATGCTTAGCATGATAGAAAACATGGATCTTTCAGTAAAATGGAAGAAGTGATTGAGGACAGGAGGTAGAAGAGCCCTGAGCAGTCCCACAGCAGCTGTGCCCTGGCTTCTAGCTTGCTGGGAAACCCTCCGGACTAGACTTGCTCCAGGCACTTAGTCATCTAGGGATGAATGGCAGGGTATGTCCCTAGTTCCTTATTCCTGCATTCCGGTGAAATGCAGGAATACATCTTTGCTGCTCTGCTCTGGAACTCCTGAGAACTCCTGGCAGGAACTAAATGTGCTTTATCACATGTGTGCATGCTGATATGTGTATTTTCCAAACCCCAGTGACATTTAAGGGAAGATCAGAAAGAGCAAGATGACTAAATTTGAAAGCCCCATGTGAGTTACCGATATTTCAACACCATTGATAATCAAACAGGGTGAGCCAAGTAGGGGATGTAAAAGCGACCCTACATGACACTGTGAAACATCTGAAAATGGACCATTTATTCAGATTAGCTCATTGTTTCTATTCCTTGAGCCGAGCTGTTCCTGTCAGTGATGCATGCAAGTGTTTGCCACTTATGTCAGTGAAGAGCCCATTTGGATGGCTGACAGGTTTGGGCTCATTTACTCCAAGAGTAACATTTCCTTAAACAGAAAATGTGAGAAGGATTTTTAATTCTTCAATGAATCTTAGAACTGCAGAGTTGCTGTGGTCTCTTGTACAAACATGCACTCAGTTCCTCCCCCCCTCCCAAAATTGAATTATTTAGCTAGCAGGTTATATTTAGGTTCTTTTAAAGGAAGTCAATATTAAAGAAAGTAGACTTTGATCTGTCTTTGAGGTGATAACTCTTAATATGTTCTATCTATCCATTATGAGGCTAAGATGGATAGGGCAAATTCATCGCTGGCTTTGGAACACAGTCAAGTGTTGAATGGCATCCAAATGATAAAACTCATTTAAAGAATAACAAACCCCTTCAGATTTAAACGGGTTATACACTTAAATTTGAAAACAAACTTTGATAAAAATCACACAGGTTTGAAATCTTCAGTGGTGAATTTTACTTGCACCCAAGACGTGCATGATGTCTCGAGGATAGAGATACTCAGGCCTTCAAACACTGGGAAGTGTTATAATGTAATTCTTGCTCAGGTTGTCTCGTTGTTCTTCTGCTTCTTCCCTATCAGCATGTACAGAGACCTAGAGTATCTGACACAAATAATTTTTGTACAGCTATAAGAAAAATAATCTGTTTCCCAGGTTTCTCCCTCTTTTCCTAAGATCTCTGTGTCAGGGTGTGCTCTAGGTTATCAGTCAGAGAGATAAAGGTTAATATTACCCTCATGAAAAAAGGGTAAAGCTTATGTGCTATAAAGCCATAAGCCAAGTTAGGTGCCCACAAACTAGAGGAGATCAGCCCTCTGTGCCTCAATCTAAACAGGAGGAGGTATGTGGGACATGAAGGACCATATACCCTAGAGGGTGTATTTTAAGGTTACAGTGCACAGGAACAATTCCGGTTAACATTAGTTACTGTATCCTTGTCGCTTTTTTAATTAGCAGCGACAGCTCTAGATCCTCAGTCCCTTGTCATTGTGTGTATTACAAAATACTATTCACACAGCAACTAACACATTGTCACCTTTCATAGCGTTCAAAGACTGATTTTATTTCTTGGCCACTTGCATCCTTAAAGTTACTATCTAGGAAGTACATGGGGCAGCTTTGTCTTGACACCTGCAGTAAAGTCCATGGCCACACATGACCTCATTGAGCTTTCTCTCTCAGAGGCTATGCTCTGCCTCTGGAGTGGCACTGATGTACTGGCTCTATGATTAGGGTATGACTTCAGAATGACAGTGATGTGGCTGGCCTGGCCACTGCGCTGCTGAACATGTGCAGTGAGCAGTCTAATATCAATCTGGGAGGATGTGCTTAAATAACTCTTATGCTAATGGATTTGTGTGTGTTTGTCCATACAAATAAGTTCCCTTGGATACCACAGATTCTTGAGAACTATTTCCCAAGCTCTGATTTTGATGGCACACCAAGCTAAACCTCTTCAGAACCTGGTTTCTTTACTTTTACCTTTACAGGGTGATCCGCTTTAGGAATGTTGCGCAAATGTGCCCAAATTATTGAAATTCTCTTCTTGTCACTACAGGGTGATTCAAGAGGCCTCAGTTCTCCCTGTGGCTCTGCCATTGTGTGGCTGAGGGACAGAGACCCTGCTCTGTGCTCCTCTTTTCCCACTTTTAAAATGCCAAGAGGCAGCCCTGGTCAAACACTGAAGTCAGTAAGAGGAAAGCATCAAATACAATTTTCCTGCTCTAATCTGTAGCTTGTGTGTATCTGTATTTTAACAAATTCACATCTAATCCATCTTCAAGGGATAATTTAGTTGTAGAGTTACAGTTAACAGCTATTTAAACTCATTCATGCTTCATATGGCCTATTTGTGGCCACAGTTACCACTTCGTGTAGCATACTTCAAACCAGTGCACAGCATATACTCTCATTTCTTGTGTCATTTTGTCTAGTTTGTTCTTCAAATAAGAGATTCTTCCCTACTGACATACTGCGGATATCTTATCGTGACAGCTGGTGACTAAAGTGCCAATAGCATGAAGAGAAATAACAGAGTAAAAGTGACATCAGTTTACTCCAGCAGAGGGCTCGGTCCAGTTACGGGAGTGACAAAGTCGCCATCAAGATCACCACAAGGATTTTTGTTCTAGACATTTCTGTAGACACCTTATTAATAATGTAAAGTCACAAAGAGAAATTTTAAAATAACCATGGAGATGACGCAATGCTGCAGTTCTGGACACTTTTAAAACCAAACCTATTTGTTACAGTGCTCAGCAGTTCTGTTCCTGAAGACAGCCACAATTAAACCAAGGGTTTAAAGCAGGACTGGCCAAAAAATTCGTGCCCACCTCTCTTCAGGTGAAATACGGTTCAAGCCTCAACATCTGAGCAACCAGGGATGCCTTTGATAGAATGTGAAAATCAGATTTGGGCTCTGACGGACTGCAGAAAGAGCAAGTGCTATAGGGAAGGCTCTTCATCAGATGCCTTACTAACCCGTTCTGGTGTGCAACCTTGTCAACAGGTAGTCAACAGTAACTTTGCTGTTTGTGATAATCACAGGCCAAGGAATAACTAACTCAAATAATTCCCTTAGGATATGTAAATATTTCATGGTATCTAGAGGGCAGCACCATATTGGCATCATAGGGAAAAACGGAAAAACTATGTCCTGAGTAGCGCTGCCACTATTAAATGAAGCCTCCCAAGTGAAACTAATGCAAACTGTTTGACTTAATCTCGGCAAAGTGACACACAAAGGAAACTCATCTCAGTATAGGTCTATGAAAAGAAAGCCACTATGACCATGCAGAAGCTGTCACAGACCCTGCATGGGAAAGGCTGGAGAGAATCAGCCGAGGGCTGTGAAGACGTGGTGGTCTTCAATGAGCATTACAGCAAAAGGGGTTTCAACCAGGTTTTCATCCTGGTCTTACCAAAACTCATCAGTTCTTTGGTTTCTTTCATACTAAAAAATGTTTCAGTATAATCACATTGATACCTTCATCCATCTCATATTACTCATGGGAATAAGGAAAACTGAAATCAAAACAAGAATCCATATGGACCAAACTTCTGCGCACAGCACCAGTGTACATTGTGCCCAGTGCCTTTGAGGGATCAGTACAGATATACTCAGATGTACACATTAAAACAGGAGAGGCTGTTAGCTGTGCTTTATACACTATATTAGCTCTACACTGCCCACTGGACTGAATTTAGCAGTGATTTATTTCCCACATATTAAAATACACTTTTCTTCTGTGGCTTCAACAGCATAAAGGAAGAGGGGATATTCTTGTCTATTGCAATAAATAACAACTGCCCTACAAGCCAAACCCTTAAGTAGCTTGTTCAGAAGCTATCAGGAACTATCTC